TTGGTTCCTGTTTCATATGCCTCTTAGCCTTATTGACGTCAGTCCCCGCCCACCTACTAGTACCTTCACTTCCTGTGTGTTTGAAAGAGCAGATACCTCATGTTCCTAGCAGGAAGAAAAACACACTTTCAAACACTGAATATAGTAGAAATCTCTGCTCACTTGGGATGAATAATCATAATTAAAAAACTACAGGAATTCAGAGTACATCTATGCAGGCTACTGTCCCCGCTGACCTGTTTTGCATGTAATAACAGCATGAGGATGTTGCTTTTATTTAATTAGAAGAGCTCATTGCTCAATATTTTTTTATTAAAATATACATTAACTTGTACTCACAGAATTACGTACCTCTACTGATTCTTGCTGCTTGTTCTTAAATGATTAGATAAAATAAAAATGAATCCATATTTAATATATATATTAAATGAATAATTCAAGTAAATTCCATCCAAAATAAAAAAATGCCATCATTTACTAATCCTCATGTTGTTCCAGTGCATTTCTTTATTTGATGGAGCTGAACAAACAAACAGACAAACAAACAAAAAACAAATAATTTGTTGTCAAATCAAAGTCAAGTCAAAGTTAGCTTTATTGTCAATTCAACCACATGTACAGGACATAATTTACAGATAGACAATTTCTGTTCTCAACTTCAACTTAATGGACCTTTTTGTTTTCATTATTATTATTAAATTAGATCACAATGACATACCACTCATAATTAAACTCAATAATGGCATCATAGCCTCATCACCATTCTTTTTCTTAGAGCATTAATTAATGAGTGGTGGGTAATTTTCCCTTCCTACTTCCTGCAAAGTGTTGCTTCCTTATTTCCTATACAATTTCTTTTCAACTAAACATGTTCACTCCCTTCAGAATGGAATCACAATTAAGAATGGTGGAATACTGTCTAAATTCTACTTCGAAGTCCACCTACATTTAATTGGAACCATATGCTATTAGCTGGTTCATGTTTGATTGGAGTTGGGGCTGAAATGGTAGTCCTCCAGGAGACACACTCTCTCACTGACTTCGTAATTTATTGTCACTACTTTAATTTTAATTCAACAATTAATTTTTTTAAAGCTAATTAAGCATTAAGCTTTACTGTCAATGCTGCACATTGCAAGTTATCATGCAGTTGTTGTTGCTAAAGGTGGCTAACCAGTCATTTGGTGTAGGAGAAAAACACTTTTTCACATAGAGCTACCATATGTAGTTTTGGATTTAGTTTTCCTTTATAAACAAAAAAACTTAATTTTAAAACTTCTTGATGTGTTTACCTGTGTTATCTTTGACTAATATTGAACATAGTTCTGAAGGATCTGAAACAGTAAAGTGTGACAATTATGCAAATAATAAAAAATATATTATATCATATTCTCACATTGAGAATCCAGTCCAGATTTTTTAATCACCCAGGCTTCAAAGCAGAAGTGCCAGTCTAAAAGTGTGTTCTAGCCAAATACTTTCTATGGTGCATTCTGGAGGCTTTCAAACATGCCCCCATAACAAACTGTATGTAAACTGTGGCGACCCCAGATTTATAAAGGGACTTAGCCGAAAAGAAAATGAATGTAATTGATGCCATGCACTTTAAGTGATAAATTAAAGATGTTTGCACATGCATTATAATTTTGTCTCGGGGGAGGCGTGCCTTGGGGTAACGCCTAAAAGTAAAATTGAATAAAAGTCAAAGTAAAATTGAATAAATTTGGGGGGTACTTAGTAGTAGTAGTAGTACTTTAAAGCACTAAAATATGAAACATATGGTTCTTTTAAAGGGGTCATGAAATGAGAAAAAAAATTGTTTAAACTTTTGATATGTAAGAGGTCATTGTACTAATAGAATATTCTGTAAATTTCAGAAAATATCCTTTTTACCGAAATAAAAGTTTTTATTGACACCAGACTGAAAAAATGGCAGATGCTGGAATGGCAGAGGCTTGGAATGGAATGGCAGGGTTGATGAGCGCGGTGTCGAGTCTAGAAGCAGACTTTGTGGCCGTGCTGAAAAGCAGACATGATGGCGTGCTTTACCGGGCTGCTTCTGCTATGAGCCTGGTGATGGTTTATCCCCCAGCCCCAGGACCAACTAGATGGGTGTTATGTGAAGGATATAAGGAGGCAAGAGAGAGCACCCTCTACTAGGCATGCCTATGCCCTGAAGTGGAGTCTATTCAATCGCAGAAAAGACACCTGATCTTGCCAGATCAGTGTTGTGCTTTCTTTCCTTCAGGACAGGTTGGAACAAAGGCTGTCGCCCTCCACACTGAAGGTTTACGTGGCCGCTATTTCCGCTCATCATGATGCGGTGGATGGCGGCACCGCGGGGAGGCATAACCGTATCATCCGGTTCCTCAGAGGTGCGAGGCATATGGTTCCACCCCGCCCCCTCTTATACCCTCTTGGGACCTTGTGGTAATGCTAACAAGCCTATGTGTGGATCCCTTCGAACCACTCGATTCAGTATCCTTGAGATTCTGTCCTTGAAGACAGCTCTGCTGGTCGCGTTGGCATCGATTAAGAGAGTAAGCGACCTGGAGGTTCCAGCTGGCGATCCCATAAGCTCACTTAACCATGGTTTGGTCCTCCCTTTTTTAAGTCGGGCTTGTGTCTTCCCTCCCCGCTAACCATCCTCTTATATGTACTCCCCTCTTTCGAGGCTAGTCCACAGGGTGTCACCAGGTCTCCCCTCTTTGGGTAGCAGGTGAGCTCCGCAGCGTCCTCCATTTTAGGACTGACCGCTTTCCCAACGTACTGTTAAAAACCCTAATTTACTTGGTTAGTTTCGACTCCCCGAAAAATATAGCTAAACTTGAACAGGTAAGTAAGGTAAGTAATGGCCAGGGGACGCGTTGGAAGACTGCGTTTCGTGGCGTTGTAGGTGCGCTTGCTCTACTGCGTGGCACACCCTTCGCCAGGGAAGTGATAAGGTTCTTTCGTTGTGGCGTTTTCAATAGATTTACCCATAGTAGAAGTTTCCACATAGCATTGGAGTTCCCCATACGAAGGGGAATGATATGGTTACTACTAAAGTAACCCATGCTATGTACCTTCGCCACAATGATTGTCCCTTAGCTGTTGAGCGTAAAAGTCTCTTCAGCTGGAAAAGGATGTCGAGCATTGCACTAGCCACGTCCTTATAGAATGAATGATTGTCATTGACGCCAGCTGTGCACACTGAGGCCGCCAACACATTGGCATTTCATTGGCCCGATTTTATACTCCTTCAGATGATTGGTTTCTGACGAAATCCCCATAGTGGAAAATTCTACATAGCATTTCCAACCTGTGTATGTGTGTGTGTGTGTGTGTGTGTCATTGTTATGGAGTGAAGGACAAATTAAAAATAAATTTAGTTAAATTTAGATAAAATTCAGTCTAACTGCTGTTAGACTGATTGTGTACTACCCACTATAGAAGAGATTGCACATGATAGAATGATAGACAAATTTGTCAGTATGATGAACCACCATAATAATCCCCTTTTTGATACAGTCCAAGCGTGTGCAAGCTCTTAGTGAAAGATTAATTCAACCTCTGTGTTATAGAGAAAGATACAGGAAGTCATTTTTACCAACAGTGATCAGATTGTATAACCAAAATCATACTAGATGAATTGTGCTGAATTGTAAAAGTTATTGGATATGGACAAGTGTTTACTCATTGTTTTTGAAACAAAGGTGAGCAGTTTGAATGTAATTTTATTATTATTTTTTATATATGTAACTTCAATTATTTATTCGTTTTCTTTTTCGGCTTAATCCCTTTATTAATCCGGGGTCGCCACAGAAGAATGAACCGCCAACTTATCCAGCACGTTTTTATGCAGCGGATGCCCTTCCAGCCACAACCCATCTCTGGGAAATATCCACACACACTCATTCACACTCATACACAATGGACAATTTAGCCTACCCAATTCGTCTGTACCACATGTCTTTGGACTGTGGGGGAAACCGGAGCACCCGGAGGAAATCCACGCAAACGCAGGGAGAACATGCAAACTATACACAGAAATGCCAACCAGCCGCGGCTTGAACCAGCATCCTTCTTGTTGTGAGGCAACAGCACAACCTACTGTGCCACTGCGTCGCCTATATATGTAACTTAATCTATCTATTTTTAGAATGGAAAGCTCTGCTGTGACGTGAATTGTGACGTACAATACTTTATAAACTCATAAAGCATTTGACCAGTTTGAGGCAGTCGCTTTCATTGAACAAAACGTTGTCAATATAGTAATGTATGTCAATGTAGTAATATACTGTAAAAATGGCAGCTGCAGTTGCCGGCATACTGTTTAATTATAGAGCAACAACTATAGACGCTGTTAACTTGCTTTCAACTGTGCTGCCAGTTACTGTTTTTTAACAGGACAATTTTTAACAGTGTACGCTGAATAGGTCAAAATTATTTTTCTTTAATACCAAAAAGCATTTGAATATTAAGTAGATTTCCTTCTCTAAATGTGTTAAAACTACATTTTGATTAGTATTTTACAAAGAATAAAGAAAGGAGAATTACAAAGAAAGACAAATGAGGTGTCATCAGTGTGAAAAAAGTTCAATGGGAAACACGTTCAGTTCAAAGGTGAACTGTTCAGAGTTATTATTGAAATTAAATTAAATAATGGCAATAATATATGTGTTTAATTTAAAAGCCTATAATGGACTTTATTGGACTCCTCTAATGAGTAGTAGAGTCCCTCCCACTAGCTGTCCAGGATCTGAGGCTCATTGACCAGAACAGCATTATGTTAGCAGATAGAGACTGACTGCGATCATGGCTAGGCGTTATGAGACCCAGTTGATGACATAGTGGAAAGAGCCAAGCTAGCAGTGAGCTAGTAATCCAGCGTGTACCAGTGCACAATGACTCTATCAGCAGAAGCCAGCCCACCATGAAAAAACACAGGTTGTCTCTCTGCATCACTCTCACCAGACAGAGACTGTTTCCTGAATACATATCTGTGTGTCTCTTACCAGATGAATCTTACCAAAAGCTGGCCCTGGAGACCATGGAGGAGCTCGACTGGTGCCTGGACCAACTGGAGACCATCCAGACATACCGCTCTGTCAGTGACATGGCTTCCAACAAGGTAAGGTTCATTCGCTGCCTCGTCAACCTGAGAACTGCTCTCGGAGACTCACTCTAAAGGCTCTATGCATGTTTGTAAATATAATCAACTTATTTCACAATTTATTTCATGCCATATTTGTTTGAGAGTTTTATTTTAGATGAATACACGGAAAAATATATATAATTTTCACTGGGAAAATGCTATTTATTTCTTTAGAATGTGCAGTGTAAATAATTGCAGTCAAAATATACATTGAATTAAATGTTAAATTTTGAAGTACATTTGAAGAAATTCTTTAATATTGTCCTCAAATAATATCTTAGAGTAAAACATGGTCCAATGTTCTTTATGTAAATTGAAGAATGATTATTCTCTCAAACAGGTTTTTCTTACTCTCAACTTGCTCGTCTTACTTACAATTCACAAATAATTACAAAGAAACAGAAAGTAACACTGAATGAAACACAAATTTCAGTCACATAGGACTGATATTATATTTCCCTATAAAACATACTCCCACAATTTACTGAAAACAAACTCATTCTAACACAAATTGTCAGTAATTTTCACATATAATTACAGTAAACAACACTGAATCAAACATAAAATTGCACTTAAGTACACAGACTAAAATAGTAATTTTTTCTTTTTTTAAAACATTCTAGCAAGCTTTATTAACATCAAAAGGAATGTAAGTATCAAACATATTGAAACAATTCTTACTAAAACAGACATACAAGCACATTTTTACTTTTTTTTAGCATCAAAGCCTAATACATTTTTGTTGGGATATACAGTAATTAGGATAAAGAGGAAAGCAGATTTAATACCCCCTTGTGGCGTTCAGTGAGAACATGTTGGTCTACCAGTACTGAGTAGTCAATACTGGTCAAATGCTGTAAATAGTGAACACTTTGTGGTCTTGCCGAAAAGCACATGGTCCAACCAATTATTTAATTTAATTATTTAGTACTATCGGTTCAGATTTTTTTATCCTAAGCATACAACTTTAAACTTTATTTGAGCATTTCCACTTTGCTTTGTTTGCCCTGATATCTTATTAGATGTAAACAGAAATCAACGCGCAATACAAGACACACACACACAATACATTACTGTCACATTGAAGCATTTTGATCTTAGGCTGTGTTATGTAATGCAGGACAGTTGAGGATTATATTTTATATTATCTTATATTATATAAAATTATATTATATTATCTTTATATTATCTCTATTACTGTAAGTGCAGCATAATATTAAAATCATACTGTTTAAAAAATGTAACAAATATTTTGAAAAGTTTAATAGTAGTTACTCTATTAGTTGGTGTTTTATTTTATTCTCTATTTAGGATAAAATGAAATAATTTGAATAAAAAAGCTTTTTGCATTGGTGTATGATTTGTTAGAACAGGAAAATAATTGGCCATGATACAACTATTTAAACTGGAAACTATATTTATATAAATAGTGAGCGAACCTCCTGGTCTTCACTTTCATCAGCTACACCCACACTCTCCCTCACGGTCCTCGCTTTCAGGTTGAGGGTGTGATTGCCATTTGCCTAGAGCGCCAGTTCAGCTTGCTCTGGCCCTGGCATGTGTTTAACGTGCAAAGAAATTTGGATAAGACCAAGGACGCGCTTTTAGAAGGAAAGTTTCAGTATAAAACAATTCATGTCACAGTAACAGGCTGTGTTTCCTCCAGAGTTTCATCCAATTTCAGTTGCTTCACTTTTAATCTTTAGACTTTAACTGCAGTTCAGCAGTGCACTTTCATTCAGCATATTTTTATTCAGGATGTTTTATTGAAATTTGATACCGCTTGGCGAACAGAAAGAAAAACCTCAGCATTTCGGGACTCGCATTATCCTTTAAGGCAGGGGTGTCCAAACTCCGTCTTGGAGGGCCAGTGTCCTGCTGAGTTTAGCTCCAACTTGCTTCAACACACCTGCCACTAAGTTTCTAGTATATCTAGCAAGAGCTTGATTAGAAGATTAAGGTGTTTGATTAGGGTTGGAGCTAAACTCTCCAGGACACTCGCCCTCCAGGACCAAATGTGGACACCCGTGCTTTAAGGTAATCAAAAATTGCTGCTTACATGATAGACTCTTAATCAGTATTATCTTAATCATAAAAGCGGAGTATTGGTGTCCATTTAAATGTACAGTAGTGAAAGTGGCAGATGAAGTCGCAAGCTGTCAAAGACAGCCCTATTCTCTGCCTTCAAGCTGCTTCCATGAGCCCTCACATTTTATAAGTTTCTTGTTGCTGTATCAGAATCATTGCTTGCGAAATACAGCCATACTTTAAAACACTTAGTTTAAGCAAATTTGATGAACGCGTTCGTGCGTGTTGATAAATCTGAAGGGATCTCTGTGATCCCTTAATTGTTTTGAAATTCAAATAGCACTTAAATGCCTGTGGGTTTTTTTTGTAATAAATACAGCGTTTCGTGATTAATCATGATGAATTACAAAAAAGTGTGATTAATTATGTAAATTTTTTAAATCATTTGACAGCCCTAATGTAATGAAGGGGCTGACACAGAGGGATCCATTTGCAGTAAATTTATTAAACACAGTTTAATAAACACAAGTACACAGATGTTATGCGTGTGCGAACTCACATCAAACACAATAGTGTTACGTTGAAGCATCAACGGCAGGTAATCACAGTATGAATGTTCAGGCATGGGTCAGAGGCAGGCGGCGAATAATAAGTCAGAATCCAGGCTGGGGTTCAAGGCAGGCCGCTAGAATCAGAGTCGGTAATCAGGCTGAGGTACAAGGCAGGCGGCTGGCAGGACAACGTCAGAGAACAAGGCAAGGTAAGGTAAGCAACGGGAAAGCAGGCAATGTAGAGAAACGCTCAGTAGTTTTAGCCGGGGCAGAACAAGACTTCGCAATGACTGAGTGCACACAATGTGTTTTTGGCTAGTGCAACATAAAACTGCTTTTGTGGTACAATGTTGCAAATGATCCTTCAGAAATCACCAAGATATTATTATAATTATTTTGTCCTATATTATATTAAAATGTATTATTAAAAATATACATTTATATATGAATAGTTGACAAAGACAGCTAAAAAATCAGGCTTTTTTGTAAAACAACCATCATTGACATCTGGTATTATATGATGTGCACAATTTGAAGACAAACAAATGAAATGAAGAGGACGTCATGGCAGTTACACAGGGAGCTTTGGTCTCATGAACTTGAATGGGGTCCTTCAACTACTTGAAATTTTCAGATGAAATGGATTAGCGTGTGACCAGAGGACATGGCTTTCAGTGACAAAATGTAAAATTGACTTTTTAATTTATTAGAACTGTAATTTATTAATCTATGCCTAAAACAGTTGCACGATAGGAACGTTTTGAGATTTGGCTAAAAAATGTTTAAAATGTAATAACACAGCAGCTTTTTAACCATGGAAGACAAATAAATGTTTAACCAATCACAGTTTTTATTTTTATTTATTTTTTTGTCATGCTTGAAAGTGAAAATTCAACATCTTGTCAACAACCCATATTTTATTACTTTATTATTTGTGTAATTTTTGTTTTTCTTTTCTGAAAAGAAAACACATTCTGAAATTCAGCTACATGGTGCAAGTACTCAATTCACATTATCAACAGTTCAGTTTAGTCAGATCAAGAGTGGTAAGATCTTAGAGCGCCTGTACCCGACGCCGTAGAAAGAGAGAGGGAGGAGCAGTGAGTGGTAAGGAAGGAACAGCACATTTACAGTGAGGTGAATCAGTCAGCACTTTGTCTAACGCACTTCCTGACACCAGTCAAAGTGAGCTTACATGCACTGCCTTTACACAAGCTCTCAAGTAGCGAACAACACATCATCACAGCAACAATGGGATTAAGCTACTCAGAGAAAAGGAGAAAGTTTGGTGTGCTAAAAAGAGAGATGAGTGAGTGCAAGTTTTGTTTTGTGTGACCCATTTTTTTCACTGATAAATCAGCACTGGAAATTGGACATGGCTTTTCATGTTTTATTTAAAGGTGACACATTGCAATGAGGTTTATGAGTTACCTATGCATTAACTAACTATGAGCAATACTTTTGTAATAAAAAGTGCTGTAATAAAATATTAATCGTTGTTTACTTTTTAGTACTTATTCTGCTCGTTGTGAGTTTGTGTTATCTCAGTTCCATGAAATAATTTTGACTAATATGTAAGTGAAATCAAAAGCAAGTATTTGTTAATACTGAAATAATTTCAAATGTCTTTGTTAAGACTATTATTTGTTTACCTAATTAAGGTACTTTATGTTAAGAACATAAGCTTTTAGTTCAAATTCAAATTAAATGTGTCTGAAGTTTCACTTGCTCAACTTTGATGTGAATTTAGTTTAATTTGTATGTGTGCAAAAACTATACTTTTAATTGTTATGTTTAAAACTGAAATAAATTAGTTTTTTAACTGTATACTCATTGTAAAAAGTATATATTAACATGAACAGTATGGACATTAAATAAATAAAAAAATAATAAAATTAAATTCATATTAAATAGAACAATTTTGAATAAAACAATGTATTTTTTTAAACGATTAATATGACATTTAAGAGGCATTGGTTCAGCAGTGTCTAGTTCTGTTAAAAAATCAGTGAAGGCATTTAAAGTGTAAGATGTAACTGATACATTCTTATTTGCCATAGCTTCATGACTGCTTTTGCTTACATCATGCTTAATGAATTCTTGAGTTTCAGGAAAAATGGACTGTTGCAAAAACTTGTTTAAAGTTGTAGCAGAACAAAATATTGCATAAATATACAGTTGATAGAAACCTATAGGACTAGGCATTTGGTGTGCACGACCGATTAACAATGTTAGAATTTCCATGTATTTCGTGACTGAATGCTTTTAAAAATGTAAACACTCTGCTCTTTATTTAACAACTTTATTTAATATGATAATTTTAAAAATAACAACAATCCAGGATTGTGTGTTTTGTGCTTCTTACATGAATCCATCCATGCTGCAAAGGATGTGGAGAACAAAGAAGTGTAGAGAGAGAGAGAAGGAGGATGGCAAAGTAGAGAAAAAACAGAATAGGTGTTGAAATTGAAGATCTCACAGAGTTCTGTGTTGGTTTTTCATTCTGGTTGCAGTTTTTTTTATGACAAACATTGCTAGGATGTGAAAGGGAATACAGAGGGGTGAGATCAGGATCAGGATAAACAGTGGACTGATAAGTCAGTGATAGGGTTTTGTCTATGTTACAAGAATGAAGAGATCAATTCACTTTTTAAGCAACTATAGCCAAAACCTCCAACATGCCTGAAGTCAATTACCTGTTGTTTGTTTCCTGGGGTTACATTAAGATGTGCTTTTGCGTCAAAAATTTAAAGCGGAACAGATTATTGTGATTATCAGTTCACTTGGATGGCAAATTTCTTTTTAATGCTTGTTTAAAAAAAAAACATGACGAGGATTGATAATGTATATAAACAGAAATCTTGAATTATTTAGATAGAATTTGTGTAAGAAGGCCTGTTTTGTGGTTTTAGTTCAAGAGGATGTTGAATCGGGAACTGACACATTTGTCTGAGATGAGCCGCTCTGGAAACCAGGTGTCTGAGTTCATTTCCAACACATTCTTAGGTAAGTCTCAACTTTCTTTTCATTGTCTTCAAAGGATAATTCAAAATCTTATAAGAAAACATATTAAATACAAGTTAAAAGTGAATATGAAAATGTTAATATATATGTGATTCTGGACCACAAATCCCATAGGTTATTGGACATTAAGATTTATACATCACATTTTAGCTAAATAAATAAGACTTGTATTGCTGTATGGTTTCTTTGGATAGGAAAGTATTTGGCCAAGATACAACTGTTTAAAATCTGATATTTGGGGGTTCCCTCTAATATTGAGAGAGTCATATTTTTAAATTTTCAAAATTAATATCTTGTCAATGCATAATACTAATACTAAACATTGGAAATTTGGGGGCGACACAGTGGCGCAGTTGGTAGTGCTGTCGCCTCACAGCAAGAAGGTCGCTGTGTCGCTGTTTGGAACCTCGGCTCAGTTGGCGTTTCTGTGTGGAGTTTACATGTTCTCCCTGCATTTGCGTAGGTTTCCTCCGGGTGCTTCAGTTTCCTCCACAATCCAAAGACGTGGTACAGCTGAATTGGTGAGGCTAAATTATCCGTAGTGTATGAGTGTGTGTGTGTGTGTGTGTGTGTGGATGTTTCCCAGAGATAGTTTGCAGCTGGAAGGGCATCCTCTGCGTAAAACGTGCTGGATAAGTTGACGGTTCATTCCGCTGTTGCGACTCCGGATTAATGAAGGGACTAAGCCGACAACAAAATAAATGAATGACTTGGAAATTTGCTAAATGTATTAATGGAACATGATATTTACTTAATATTCAATTGATTAATGGCATAAAGAACAATCAATAATTTTGTCCCATAAAACCTATTGACAATTGACAAAAATATACCCCTGCAAGATAAAACACATACTTTTGTGGTGCAGAATCACATATGGAATTAAATTGAATGAACATGCAATATTTATAGTCATTTTAAATAATAACATTTTAAATATTGTACAATCATTTATTTTCCTTTAGCTTAGTCCCTTTATTCTTCAGGGGTCACCACAGCAGAATAATAAGTCAACTTATCCAGCATATGTTTTACACAGTGGATGCCATTCCAACTGCAACCTAGTACTGGAAAACATGCAGACACACTCATTCACACACATACATTGGCCAATTTAGTTCATTCAGTAAACTAGCCGGGGCTTGAACCAGTGACCTTCTTGCTGTGAGGCCACCCTCTAAAGTATTGTATTAAAATCCAAAATCATTAAAACAGCATGTAAAATAAATAACACTTACTAATGATTGCAGAATTGTGATTATACTTTTTTATTTTAAATGAAAAAATAAACAACATTTTGATCCAATAAAAGAAAAATGAAAGACTTTTAAAACATTTTTAAAGGTGTTTAATAGCAGTATATGTGTAGATTTTTAGTAGCCTCATACTTATGCTGTGAAATTTAATAATACATTACAGGAATGAAAGTTACATAAAATTCTTTCTATATATAAATATACAATAAAATATAAAACAAAAAGCTACAACATTTTCTTGCTAGAAAAGCTTACTTGCGTTGGTAGGCACAATTCTCAGTGCAGTGCAAACATGTCTATTAGAACTCAATGAAAATACAGTACCATCCCTGAAACAGAAAACTTTTAAATGATATTCCCTCCATACCCATGCGCACGTCAGTTCCATACCCATGCGCACGTCAGCTTATCTTAGTGTGGGTGAGGGAGCAGCAACATACAGCAGTAATACGATGTAATGAGGTCATACTGTACGTGTGCACACGTAGAGTCTTTTAAAAGCTTGATCTATTTTAAAAGTTGATTGAGAAAAAAAGACTGAAAGAGAGGGTTTCTATCTCCTCCATAAAACTTTTGAAAGCCAAAGAGGATGGAATGTCTGTTACTCCCCAAACCCTGTCATCTAGAGCCCTATAGCCTACACACTTACTCACACGGTCATCAATAGGGAGGTTTGAGACAAACACTCATAATATGCAGTGTTACTGAGAGCTCAAACTCTTGATACCAAGAAATGTTGATAAAGAAAAGAAAGAGGGCAACAGACATCACTGCTAAAGAGAAGTCAACATATTTTTCAGTCATCTCAAAAGATGTGAATGTTTATTTGCTTTTCCAGACATAGTATTATTTTAGTCACTTTTGTTTAGTGTTTTTCTTAAAAGACAACAGTAGAATAAACATTAGCGTGTGAATATCATACCATAAATAAAATGATTTCATTTTTAAAAAGATTTGCATCATTTCTGCATCTGGAAATAAAAGGGTTCCTATAAAAACTCAGATAAACATTATTATTATGAGTAAGTAAACATTTTTGTTTCACAAAAATAAAGCCAAAATAAAAAAGCCTTTGGACAAATTTAGGTAACCCTATGGTTCAGATGCTTGTAGATCCACACTTAGCAGTAATAACTTAAAGAAAATTGTTTTCTTCTTTCTCAGCTTCAGCACTGTTGTAGATTTTCCCTAAGCTTTTACCTGTGGGATGGGCATTGTATTCACACACACCTGAAAGCTCCAGATCAATAACCTGCCTGACATATATGTTTTAATGCTGCATGTTGTTGTTGTTCATTTGATGTTTTATTTTCCAACTGATTATTTTATATGGAAGTAATTTGTTTATTTATTTATGTATTAAAAGGGTGTCTTAACATTTACACATACATCTGTATGTGTGTGTATCCATCTTTGAAGTACCAGCATAAGCCCCAGCTGAACTAAAATCAACAGTTGACCTGTAAAGATATTGTAGGTGGCTTGAACTAATATCACATTTATTTTGCTCACATGAACTTACTCTATAGTCTGAAATGTCAAAGCTGCTGTTGTGAATTGAATGTGTGAGTGCTAAAATGAACAGTCACATAAGTAATAGGTAAAAACCTTTCTGTCTGTAGACAAACAGAATGAGCTGGAGATTCCATTGTCTACTCCAAAATCACGGGAGAGGAAGAAGAGGCAGCAGCAGCTAATGACTCAGATCAGTGGGGTGAGAAAGGTCACGCATGGATCAGGTCCATCTAGCAGCTGTAGTACGACACGCTTCGGTGTGAAAACCGACTCGGAGGACATGCTCTCAAAGGTATAGTCACCATCTCATGAATTTGTGTGCAATTGTTGTAGTGTAATTGTATGAATATTCAAATCAATTCAGTTCAGGTTTATTTGTATCATGCTTTTAATAATAATTATCACTCCAAAACAGCTTCACAACAGGTGCGCAATATGACATTACAATCTAAATCAAAATGAGTTAAGGTGTTGAGTAGAGGGAGAACAGTATATATAAATAGTTAACATGCAATTATACAATATAAAGTGTGCATTTCAAAATAGGGGTGTCTGTGTGTAATACCTTTACTATGAAGTGATCGGCTCACTACAATAATTAAGAACAGTTTGTATATTGAGTATTGCTTAAGGTTTTGGCATCATCATCTCCTGTTTTTTGTAGGACCTGGAGGACATTAACAAGTGGGGTTTAAACATCTTCAAAGTGGCAGAGCACTCGCACCACCGCCCACTAGCCTGCATCATGTATGCCATCTTTCAGGTTTGTGCACAAAAAAGCTTATCTAACAAGTCTAGAAAAGTGTTTATTAAATGAAAGGCAACTGGGTTTTTTTTCTCCAGGAGAGAGATTTGATGAAGACATTTAAGATCCCAGTGGACACCTTTGTGACATACATGATGACTCTTGAAGACCACTACCACGCAGACGTGGCCTATCACAACAGTCTACATGCAGCTGACGTGGCCCAATCTACACACATCCTGCTGTCCACACCTGCACTGGATGTAAGATACATTGGATATACATTTTATTCATTCCTTCATTTTCTTTTCAGCCTGGTCCCTTTATTATTCTGGGGTCGCCACAGCGGAATGAACCCCCAACTTATCCAGCACATGTTTTTACACAGCAGATGCCCTTCCAGTTTCACTGAGAAACACTCATACACACTCATTCACACATATACACTACGGTCAATTTTAGCATACCCAATTTACCTATAGCACATGTCTTTGGGCTATGGAGGAAACCCGAGCACCCGTAGGAAACCCACACAAACACGGCGAGAACATGCAAACTCCACAAAGAAATGCCAGGTAACCCAGCCGAGACTTGAACCAGTGACCTTCTTGCTGTGAGGAGATCATTCTACCCACTGCACCAGATAAAATGTTTATTACTTTTTAATATTTTTCTATTGAATCTTTTATTTCAATACATCTAACAGATTAAAAGAGAAATGAAACATTAAAAGAAAATTCAAAATGTTTAAATCAAGAGAATAATATAGGAATAAAAACTACAATCCTGACAATGATTTACAATGGTCACTCTGTACTTAAAAAAAATTAATAATATTAATATAAAAAAATAATTAAAATGCCTAAAAAAACAAATTTGAGATAAAAATAAAATAACTTTTTCTATTTATGTTTACTGTCCTTTTTCCTCATGCATCATCCATCTAATCTCCAAACACTGCTCAATGTTTGGTCAACAACATTTTTTGTTTGTTTGTTTGTTTCCTCATATTATCTCAACTCTCACAATGTTTTGTTTTATTAAAAGTCATAATTTAAACCAATTAACAAGTTAAGTGCATTTAGGAAATGTGATACCACCTGTTCATGTAACACTGTCCTTTACTGTTTACAGGCAGTCTTTACTGACCTGGAGATTCTGGCAGCTCTTTTTGCAGCAGCCATCCATGATGTGGACCACCCAGGGGTCTCAAACCAGTTTCTAATTAACACAAGTGAGTGAATTTTTAATTTACACTTCCCTTTAAATATGGCTTGTTTATGGCTCCAAACAGCTGGAATCATTGGCACTCAAATCATGTGGAAGAACAAAGACTGAAAGTTATTGCTGTTTTATGTTTCTCTTAAACATCATGCCTATTTTTACTGTAGACTCTGAGCTGGCACTCATGTACAATGATGAGTCTGTTCTCGAAAACCATCACCTAGCAGTTGGTTTCAAACTCTTGCAAGGGGAAAACTGTGATCTCTTCCAAAACCTCTCCAAGAAGGAGCGGCAGACTCTCAGGAAAATGGTTATTCACATGGTAAGCATTGCTGGCTAAATTTTGCTGCTTGGGGAAAGTTTTGGTTTACCCTCACATAAAACTACCACACCTGATGACCATTTGTATAACACCTGTTTAAATGCAAAGACCATTGTTAAATAGTGGTTAATGTAGCAAAAGCAATTTCTTAAAGGTAGAGGTTGAATGATATTATAATATTTATACACAGATATGCACATACTATTCAGAGGTGGAAAGATACTGAAGAATCATACTCAAGTATTTTTTGCCAAAATAAAAAATGTAGTGCAAGTAGAGTAAAAGTATCTTTCAAAACTACTCAAAGTACTCAGGGTAAAAGATGGCCCTTCTAAATGTACTCAAGAGTAATAAAGATCAAGCTGTATTCCACCGTATACCCTGTGAAATAATAACGTTCTTTCAAGGGTGTTCAACGGTTTTCAAGTGTAAGTTAAATTATTTGCCATTCATGGACTATACTTTTAAAATGTGAAATTAATTATGATCACAATCCATTCATATTATGTGCACCTATAATATGCCAACAGAAAGCAGGTTGGTGCATTTACATGGGGAGCTGAAGAGTTCAGATGCAAAACCTTCTAAATCCATCAGACCTATTTTTTTGTAAATGAGCATTTTCCATCAGGCTCCTCTGATTAGGGCCAGAAGTTTCATTTTATATGTAATGTAAATGTTATTATCTAGTAAATAATTTTTTTTTTTTTTTCATAAATGTCACTTTAGACAATTTCTTGGTTTTTGACAAATAAGATTTTCTCTTGCATCAAAACCAGCAAAATCCACCTCTGCTTTTTTTTTTTTTTTGCAAAAACCTCTAAATCCACTTATCGGGACAAGACAGTGTATTTAGTTGAAAAATTACTAAAGATGCAATTAAAAAATATTTTTTCCAAACATGATGCACATTACACAAAACACCTAAAATTAAAAATACATCTGTCAAGTGGCGGTTCATTTTACTGTGGTAAACCAGTGAAAAAGCAGAAGGAAAATGAATGAATGAAATCTGTAAAGTAAGTGCATTAATCAATAACATTAAAACTGATATTAATTAAATCTGAACAATCAGTTGTCATTTCTGATATTTGGGATTCAGATTTAATGCAAGTAGAGCAATGTAAACATTGTAAACTAAGTTTGGTACATTTAAATATTGTAGTTTAAAACATTGTGAAACATCAATATCTGTGCATTGTCCATTAATATAAAAAGCTTATCAGACATAGGCCTATAGGTAATATAAAGCAGGCTAATATAAATGTATAGTTTTATGCATTATATTTATTTTTATCTTTTAAAAAATAGCTTACATTAGCAGATAAATCACAAGGTTTGGACTTCTGGGCAAAAAATGCCTCTCAGACAATTTTAGAAGCTGTCATTCATTCATTCTCACCATTCTCAAGGTCTCTTTTTCATCTCTTATTTATCCCTATAGCATCCATGTGGGATAAAAGAAAGGTATCTTAACTCGGTTTTTCATGAAATGGTGTTGCCGTTTAATGTATAGTAAATCGGACTCATTCAAAGTATCGTCGCTGTGCAAACCAACATTATAAATGCATGCTACACTTCCGACTGCACATTGCATTTTCTTTTTTTAAGGCATGTTTTCATTTGTCATCCACTAACAGTCGGAGAGGCTTATCCAGTTCATCATAATAATAATAATAAATTTTATTTGTAATTTGCTTTTCTTATACTCAAAGCGCTACAGGCAAAATACTAAATCACAAAGCAAGCAAAACAGCACAACAATAAAAGATGCAATAAAACAATAAAAATATGAACCATAAGATAGGACGATGATTTTGTTTAAACTTTTTTATTTCTAAGTTAAAAGCAATGTTAAAAAGGTGAGTTTTAAGAAGATTCTTAAAACAGTCCAGAAAGGCAGCATTCCTAATGCTGATGGGGAGTGCATTCCAAAGCTTAGGTGCACTGTGTGAAAAAGTCTTCCCACCCATGGTCTTGAGTTTACACCGTGGCTGATGCAATGTAAGTCCCGATGCAGAACGAAGACTGTGGGCTGCGGTGGCAAGGGTCACCAGGTCGCAGATGTAACTGGGTGCTAACCCATGCACTGCTTTGAAAGTTAAAATCAACGTCTTAAAATCAATCCGTAATTTAACAAGAAGCCAGTGTAATTGTTGTAGCACAGGAGTAATATGGTGGTGTGATAATTTGTCTGTTATAACCCGTGCAGCGGAATTTTGTATATATTGTGGTCTTCTGAGAGAACTTGTTGGTAAACCAACAAAAAGTGAATTACAAAAATTAGGACATGATGTGATAAAGGCATGGATAAGCCTCTCTGCATTACGTCGTGAGAGAACTCATCAAACTTTGTCTTTTTAAATCGTAATCGTAAGGGGAATAAAATGCTTTTCTCATAATAGCTGGTGTATCAGCGCGCATCTACATGTAAAACATATATGATTCAATTTGCACCTTCTGATCGGTTCTTGGGATATAGCGGCTTTTACTGTCAACGGCAAGTGGCGTTTAGCGGCTTTTGCCAACCAACTGTTATATCTAAATAGGCTGACGCTGCAATTTAGATGATTTAAAGCAAATCTATTTGTTGATGGTCAGTGGTGTAAAGTAACTAATTACAAATATTCAAGTTACTATAATTGAGTAGTTTTTCTCAGAAATTGTTATTTACTAAGTAGTTTTAAAAATATGTACTTTTACTTTTTCTTGAGTACCTTTTTAGTGCAGTATCTGTACTTTTACTACTTTATTTTTTCTTGTTTATGGGAATTAAAAAAATCAGTCCTGTAAATTCTGTCCAATCAAATCACACAAAAATGTAAATTGCATCATAATGAACTACTTCAAGACATGTGCACTTTACATTGCACTTTACAATGTCTTCTGGGACTTCCTGAGCGAGTTCGGTGCTCAAGTATGCATCGGTGTGTCCTCGATATCAAGATCACATCCGGGAAGTTTTACACATCCTCTGTTCTTGCGGTCTTGAGTATTGGAACTGAACTTTGGCAGCTGATGATGACGTTACACAAGAATACAAGGACGCAAGACCGCTGAATAACGCATATTGAGAAACAGCCACAGTCCTGGAGAGCCAATGTCCTGCAGATTTTAGCTCCAACTTGCCTCAACACACCTGCACGGATGTTTCTAGTAAGCCTAGTATGAGATTGATTAGCTAGCCCATGTGCGTCTAATTGGGATTGGAACTAAACTTTGCACACTACATTTGCCCTCCAGGACCGAGTATGGGCCCCCCGAGTTTAGATGCATGTCGCTGAAGAGACGATGATGGATATTTACTGTATGATGACCGAAATGGCCTTAAACACCCAGCAGGCACAAGATGTCAACATGATGTCAGATTGAAATTGTACCCTAACGTCGTGGAAACGCTGCATTTTGTTTGGAAATGAAAATCGTGTTTACACATCAGAACTCAATGTCAGCCCGTTGTCAATGTCCAACGTCCAACCTAAAACCAACCAAATATCAACGTCTAATGATGTTACAGCTTGACGTTGTGTCAACGTTACCGCTATGACATCTATCAGATGTTGGATTTTGTTGCCATAAATGATAAATAAATGTCAGTATTTGACATCAATAGGATGTTGGTTTAAGATGGCGGCTCGACATTGGATTTTGGTCACTTTCTAACAACCTAAAATCAAATCATAAGTTTTGCAATTTGAACCCTGACTAAAAAAGTTATGAGTGTCCAGCAGTTTGTGCAGTAGTGATAAATTGCATGTAAATGATAATGTAAAATTCTGTAGCCCTTTTAGTTTTTGTTTTAGACCATTTTAAGATTTTAGTAGGCATCCTTTATCTTCTAATCAGAGACATGCTGTCTCTTGGCCAATGCATGTAAAAAAAAATAGCATTCTTCAACACTTTTAATTGCTTTCACACAGTATATGTTTGCTGCATAAAAACATCCGGGTAACACTTAATATTGATATTAATAATAATAATAAAAACAATAATAATTATAATAACAATCATAATATTTTTATGATAATTATAATAATTAACTTGGCATTTTTTATTTATATACATATAAACATGTTTAAGGTGCTTAATAATTGTATTTTCATACTTTGTTAATGATGGATTTTTTGTTACTAAATTAAGTATTGCATTAAGATTCTTCAGAATGAGTAAGTAAATGATTAATAAACTTTAAATTAAAAATGTATATATTTTAGTTATTTATATATTTATATGTTATATGGTATAATAGTTATTTTGTGTGTTAATAAATGCTTTATTTTGTAGGAGTCCATCTATTAGCCCAATGACGAAACTAACAGCATGGTCGAAGGTATAATGCATGTAAGCCTTTTCTAGTGCTTCTGAAAAGAATTTAATTATTTATTAGAATTTATTCATATTCGTTTTTTAGCTCCGAATTTAATCTGATTCTAATTTAAATGATCCTAAAATTTAGATTGTATTTCTAATTGTAAGAACGGACCACATTCATCATTTATGATTTAATTTAGAGTTTTGATATTTTCTGAGGTCCGATATTCTAATTGTACTAATTGTAGGGACCAAAATCGCTCAGAGTTCCACGCCCGCGGTTTGCGCTTATTCTCATGGACAATATGTCGACACTCTGAAAATAGTCAGAGGATGCAGGATTAACTATATTTGAATAAGCTGGTCACATTAACACTTACCTAATCTTAAAAAATAGATCCTTAGCCAAGCCCATACAACTTGCTACTTCCAGTGGTTAAATGCTTAAAAGGTCTACATGTTATAGGCTCTCTATGGCTACGTATAATTAAATGTGCCTATTAATCAATTCAATTTATGCCATACTATAAAGGTAAAGAAGACTCCTAGTAATCTACTGGATACAATGAATTCACAAAACTCCAGAATTAATAAAAACTTAACATTTTATTTGTCAGGTAAAATTGTAATTTTTGTATTCTGCCAGTTACATAATAAATCATCAGGAAGGCAATTCAGAAATGAGACTAACAATATAACATCCATTAATCAAAGATAAATCAAAGAGTTATAGATGCATACCTGACCAGAGAAATACATTGCAGCATAAGTCTCAGAGATACTGCAATGGGGTGTCTTTTTGCAAGATCTCCCCCCGACCCATAGCACATCTTATCTTATATACTCAAGTAAAAAAAAACAGCCATAAATTCAAGACAATAGAAGTGTCACAGAAACCCTGGCCTGGTGAATTTGAGGACTTAACCATCTCTGAGGAGGGAGAGCATCATATCAAGATCTTATAGAAGTCAAAAACCAAATCAACATATACCAGTGAAATATTACTGTAAAATTAAGACCACTTTACCAATCACACAGAGACATTAAAAATGATACCAAACATGAATATAGTGCAGCAAGATACACCATATTAAAACCTTGAACATTTTATGTGAAATGTGCTCTAATTAGAAGGTGACATAAGGGTCAAGAAGGGGGGCTGGAGGTGGAAGTAGAAGGGTGACTTTCTCGCATTACCCCCTGCTGTAGTATACAGTAGCTCTGTTTCTCCAGCCAGTGTCTGCATTGTCAACAGTGATTTGGATAGAACAGTTGAACAGCTGGTTTCTTCATCACTTCTCAGATAAGAACATTGCATCTTGTCTCATGAAATTCTATAAGAGTTCTCAGAGTCTGATATTTTGGATCCTTTCAATTGACTTAAATACATGCAGTTTTGTGACTGCCATTAAATTGGGAACAATTTATGCTTTGCAAATCCCTCAAATAAAAATCTAATTTTATGACAATTAATGGCTCATATTATAAACAGTGAAAATAATGACAAAAAAATCAAACAATAAAAAATTTAGTTTTCATTTGATATAGTTTCATTTGTGTATCTTGAAATGAATATTTTGGTCATTTCTTTCTGTTTCAGTTGTTATTTACAAAGCATAAATAGCCCTCACTTTACTGGGTCACTAAAGTTGTAGTTGTAATAATGTGGTTGAGTTAATAAAGCATTTATTAACGTTCAAAATAGCTATTACTATACCCCTGGATGTTATGTTATATAAATGTTCAATTGAATAGTTTATTAGTCATTTAATTACTCATAATGAAGAATCTTTAAAACTTCTTGAAAAAAGGTTTGTAAACAATGCAATACTTGATTTTGTAATGAAAAGTTTATCATTAACAAAGTATGAAAATACAATCATGATACATGCAAGAATGCAGCATTTGTAGCTTTGTATATAAACTGCTTAATAATGGCTATTAATATAACATTAATGCTTAAGAAATAATGAATGAACTATTTGCTTAAATGATTCACAGTGTGCAGTTTTATATAGTGTTGCCAACATTTAAGTCTTAGAGTCTGATGCAGTCTTTGTAGGCGCTATTTGATTTGACAAGGATAACAGGACTTACTTAGCCAATTACCATAGACAAGGAAAAATAAAGACTGCAGGTTGAAGGAAAACAAAGCATTAAATATACAGCAATCTAAAGTAACAGTACACATTTTTTAAAATTATTTAAGTACATACTTAAGAAAAAACTACTCAATTGCAGTAACTTATTTATACTTTGCTACTTTGCATTTTAAATGTGTGCTTTTCAACTACTTAACAATCAAACAAACAATGGCAGAATACCAGCCTGTATGTCCACATTCACACAGCACATTTATTTACAAAGTGACATTGCCAACTACTGCCCTGGCATTTACTGTAGTAGTAAAACATGTTTGTGAATGAGGATAGTTTTGACAACATTGTCATCTGTATGCAAAAGCTTTAAAAATGCTATTTTTTTGTACATTGTACCCTAAGTCCACATCTATTTCTATAGGTGCTTGCAACAGATATGTCCAAGCACATGAGCTTACTGGCTGACTTGAAAACAATGGTTGAGACCAAGAAGGTGACCAGTTCAGGAGTGTTGCTGCTTGACAACTATACAGACAGGATACAAGTGAGTCCGGCCTTTGTGTGTCATAAACAACTTGTGGTTCTTTAGTACTCTCTAATCCCCATGTACACTGTAAAATTTTATTTGCTTAATTATCTTAGCATTTTATCTTTAAACGTTTAGCTGATCGAATAGAATAGTGGACCAAGTAAACTGGAATTGCAAAAATTAGGGTTACTAGGTTAACTTACATTTAAGCAGAACTTGCAAAGTTTGGTTAAAATACATTTGCTAGATGTCACTTTATAACATTTGCTTTCGCTACAACTTAATCTATATTGTGAAAACATTCTGTAAGTTGAAATTTTTTAGAAAAAAAAGAAAAAAGGGACATTTCAATATTTCATCAATTTATGGTTATTCACCCATGTTTTAAAGTACACTAGTCTACACATTGTACTTTGTTACACAGACAAAAACACACTGTACATTTTTTTTGCTCAATCTAAAACTGTAATGCTACTTGCTGCAGAGCAGTTTTGAGTTGTTCCCAAGTACTGCACTTGAATTTGAGTAACTTAAAAAAAGCCCTGCAGAAAACAGTTTTAAGTTGAGTCAACTTTTTTTTACTGTGCAGTACAATAAGCAATAAGAGACATACTTAATAATTAGAAGGCGCTCACACAATAATTAAATACCATCATGGGAACCAACCTAAAATTCAAGTAATGCAATAAACATTATTTATTAAAATTAGATGTAACATAAAACTTGAATGGGACACCAAGTAGAGAGAGTCTGAGTCTAGACCGAGACTAGAAAATGTTGCAAACAAGACAATCACCAATTATTAGACATGTCAAGCAAACATTAATTTAATGAAATGTTAACATACAGCAGTAAGCATGAACTATTTTATGTACGAGTACGAGTCAAGTGCGAGTCTAAATACACACAAGTCCATGACAAGATCAACACAATTCAAATATCCCAGTCCAGCACAGAACAGGAATACCTAACACTGGTACATGACTGTTTTAAAAAACTAAAAAAGAACCATAGTAATATCAACAAAAAAAGTGAAGTGTCATGCAAGCATTTCTGGGAAGTTAAATAATAGTCTTTACAAAGATATTGTTAGAACTAACTCAACTTACAATTTGTTTTTTTTTTTTTTTATCTGGCAAACACTTTTAATTTCAAAACACTTTCTAAATTTAAGTTGGCAAACACTCCAATCAAGTCAACTTACAGACTATTCGAAACAGTGTACAAGTTAAATTAAGAAATTATTAAGAAATTAAGTTAAAAAGAACTGAAAGGTGGCATCATATTTACCCTGGATTTACTCTGTTTCCGCAGGTCTTAAGAAATATGGTTCACTGTGCTGATCTAAGTAATCCCACTAAGCCATTAGATCTGTACAAGCAATGGACAGACCGCATTATGCAAGAGTTTTTTCACCAGGGTGACAGAGAGAGAGAGCGCGGCATGGAGATCAGCCCAATGTGTGACAAACACACTGCATCAGTAGAGAAATCTCAGGTGTGCAACTCATCTTTTGTTTAAATGAACTGGCACATGCTTTTAAAATATATATTTCTAAGATGCCAGGCAAGTCCACATTTAATAAAATTAAAACTTTTTTATGAAGCACTGTTCTAATCAGAGTCAGACTGATTTTATAAGAAATGTTTGTTTGTTTGCTTTCCTACTAGGTTGGTTTCATTGATTACATCGTGCACCCACTGTGGGAGACTTGGGCAGACCTGGTGCATCCAGATGCCCAGGATATTCTGGACACTTTAGAGGAGAATAGGAACTGGTACTACAGCATGATACCACAAAGTCCCTCCCCTCCTTTTTTTGAAGCAGGAAGTCCCAGTGGAGACAAGTTTCAGTTTGAGTTAGAGGTTGAGGAAGGAGCTAAGCAGGATACTAAGAACCTCTCAAAGACGGACTGTGTTGAGATAGTGACGCATTCTACTTTATTTTCTGAGACGTAGCATGTAAACAGCTTCTACAATGGCTGTTTCGTTGACCTTATTTAAGTAAGTGGAGCAATGGTATTCTCCTGCTACATGAGAACCCTTCAGAGGACCACTGTGTCTTGGAACTTTGCCTCTTCTGCATAGCCCAAAAGAGGAGTAAATTAACATCCTACAAAACCTATCAAAAAATTACCCTCCAATTTTAAGGTTGACATGGTTTTTGTAAAGAAGAAACATGGACCTCTTATCAGAGGGTATTGTACTACAACATGAAAGAGACTTTTTGTAAAAAAAAAAAAGTTGCTACTTTTATCTACTTGGGTGTTTTATGACCATTTTGTTTTCACATATTCAACTACACATTTGAACATGTCATACTGTGTGTGTGAAACCAGCTTTCATATGTGTGAGGGCAATAGCATGTAATTCCCAGTTGTGTATTGGGAATGCAGTCTTCCGAAATTTTGAAGAACAGAATAATGCCATTCTTGTGCCAGCATACTTTATTGAAGTAATACAAAATCTTTACACTTTGTAACAAATAATTTCACTTTTTAAAACCATTCTTATAAGGTGATTCTTCTGGTACATTTTATTCATTTTCTTTTCAGCTTAGTCCCTTTATTAATCTGCCACAGCCAACTTATCCAGCATATGTTTTACGCAGCGGATGCCCTTGCAGCCACAACCCATTACTGAAAACCCATACTCACTCATTCGCAAACATAATACACTATGGACAATTTAGCCTACCTAATTCACCTGTATCGCATTTCTTTGGGGGACTGTGGGGGAAACCGGAGCACCAGGAGGAAACCCATGCAAACGCAGGGAGAACATGCAAACTCCACACAGACACACCAACTGACCCAACCAAGGCTCGAACCAGCGACCTTCTTTCTGTGAGGCGACAGCACTACCTACTGCGCTACTGCATCGCCAGTAAGTTTTATGTTGTATTTAATAAAAACAGGATCCAAAGAATTTTTTTTAAAGGAGCATTCTGGTGTGAATATAAATTTGAACGCATTTATGGTAATTATATTGATTGCCAAAGAAAAACATTTACTTTTTTAATGACAAGTTCATTTGTATGAAAGTTTCAATTGTACTAACATTATAAGAGTCATTACCCCTGTATAAATACAGTAAGGAATTACAGTTGTAGACACTTTATTGTAGCTGTGCTTTTTGTTTAAAAACAGACAATTCCAACTATATTTTTCTGCGGTAACAGATATTACAAATAGTTCTTATCCCAGATCCATCTTTTTAGGCTACTTTAATATGTGAGACAGACATTCCCACACTTTATTATTTTGACCTGATTAGTGATTTGTAACAAACTAATGTGCGATATATTTACAAAAAAAACACCTCTGTCTTTTAATGTCATATGATACATTTTTGTCAAGAAAATGTAAACTCTTTTACATGTTTAATTTCCTATAATCTAAGCTTTTAATATTCACAGAACAATAAACCTTAAATACACAATTGCTTATGTCAAGCAATATGGTTTCTCTTGATGTATGTTCTTAACGGTCAGGAACAGGATGTGGTAAACGAGTCACTCTGACTGACATTAGCCTTTAAACCGATCAAATCGTGTCTTTCTTTCCTAACTACTCTGTTTGCTTTTAATTACTCTTTCTGTAATGGGTTTTTTTTTTTTTTTTTGGTTTTTAATAAATGGAGGACAATTATTTACAGAAGTTTGACTAGTTTCCCACAGCTTCACCCAAATTAATGTTAAGATAACAATGTAAAGCTATAACTTAAGTTTTTACTCATGTTTCTCATTATAATGCCAATGATAAAAATTCACACTGTAGAAAAACTGTAATTTCACAGGTGAAGTCACTGTTACCTCAATTATTATATTTATTAGTATTATTATGTAGGCATTTTAAGTATTAAACTTCTGTTGTGTTGCAACTTGTGTTGTGTTGCACAGTTCTGTTTGTCAAAAAAATGACAAATGAGATTAAAAAGAGGAATATGTGAAACATGTTTTGATTTGTAATTGTTCAATGAGTAATGTGATTTTTTAATGTAGCTGTGTCTGCATCAAATTGAATATATATATATATATATATATATATATATATATATATATATATATATATATATATATATATATATATATATACACACACACATACATATACATATATATACATATATATATATATATATATATATATATATATATATATATATATATATATATATATATATATATAAATAGTCTGCTGGTTTTTGTCTGGGGGGAGCCTGAAGTGCCTGCCGGAAGGCAGGAGTAAAAACAGTCTGTGAACGGGGTGAAAGGTGTCCTTAAGAATACTACATGCTCTGCGCAGACAGTGTTTCTTCTGGGTGTCCTTTATGGCTGGCAGTGTGGTCCCTGTGATTGAGTTTTCACCACCCGCTGCAGTGCCTTACGCTCAGCAACAGAGCAGCTTCCATACCAGACTGTGATGCAGTTGGTCAGGATGCTTTCTATTGTGCAGCGGTAGAAGTTCACCAAGACGCTGATTCTTTTTAAGTTGCCTTAAGAAAAATAGGCACTTGTGAGCCTTGACCAGGCTGGAGGTGTTGGTGGTCCTGGAAAGGTCCTTTTAGATGTGGGTCCCCAGGAACTTGAAGGATGAGACAGGCTCAACAGCCATCCCATCAATGTGGATGCAATCATGTGTGCCAGTCTGTCCCTTCCTGATGTCCACAATGAGCTCCTTGGTCTTGTTGGTGTTAAGGAGCAGATTATCGTCTGTGCACCAAGTGGCCAGATGCTGTATTTCCTCCCTGTAGGCAGTCTCATCATTATTTCTGATTAGACCAATCACTGTGGTGTCATCTGCAAATTTGATGATGGTGTTGGATCTATTAACAGGCCTACAGTCAAGGGTAAAAAGGGAGTAGAGGAAGGGGCTCAGCACACAGCCCTGTGGTACACCAGAGTTGAGTGTGGCGGTGGTGGAGCAGATGTGGCCTGATCTAACATTCTGAGGTCTGTTAGTCAGAAAGTCCATAATTCAGTTGCAGAGAGACGTGTTGATATCCAGGTCTAAGTTTGATCAATAACTTAGAGGGTATGACAGTGTTATAGGTAGAGTGTAGAGGTGGTTTTTAAGCATGTTGGCACAGCTGCTAGGGGTAAGCGACAGGTTGAAAATGTCTGAATACCCTAGCAAGCTGTTCTGCACATGCTTTAAGTACGCGCCCAGGAATACCGTCTGGTCCAGCAGCCTTACGCACATTGGTCCGACTCAGTGGGTGTAGACTTCTGAGGAAGTGAGTGTGATAGCTGAGTGGTTGGTTGAGGAAGTGATCCTGGTGTAGGGTTCTTCATTGTCTCTTTCAAAGCGGGCATAAAAGTCATTTAGCTCGATCAAGAAGGAGACATTTGTGGCTGTGGGTGTGGACTGGCTGAGTTTGTAGTTGCTGATGGCCTGGATGTTTGTGTGTGGCAGAAAATGTTTTCATGGAATTTGGGCAGCACTCTGTTCAAGTTTGAGTGATTAAAGAGCCCATATTATACATGAAATAGGGTCATATTTTGGTTGCAAGGGTCTCCACCAACAGTCTAATATGCATGCAAGGTCAAAAAATCCTTTTATTATCTTGTAATCTGCATTTATTTTTACCTAATTATCCCAGCGACTCCCATATTAATCGTCCAGTGATTAATTTGTTCTCAAACCCCTCCTTAACGCAAAGCTAATCTGCGCTGATTGGACCGATGACAGCCTGTTGTGATTGGGCGACACTGGCTGCCTTCAGCGCGAGTCCGAGTGAAATGCCCAGCAGCTAATCAACAAGATAAAAGTAGTCTCAGTGCATACACGCTTCATAGTGTAAGGCATGGATTTTGGCTGCCAGTAGGTGAATGTAAATACAGACGATGGAATTGAAAATACCGATGACTAACTATTTTATTGAGCAAAAACTCCAAGAACTGGCGAGGAGATCTCCTAGCTTGTCACACTGCTCTTTTTACACACACACACACACACACACACACACACACACACATTGCTCTCCTCCTCGGACCACAAGGCACACACACACACACACACACAACCCTCCTACTCGGATGACAAAGCACACACAAGCACGCGTCGAGTTTTTAACGTGGCTTTACACGCGAAATGAGAATATAGCGAGTTGACCTAATACACGCCAGTACTAACCAGTACACGCGGTTATAAGTAACAAATCACAACTAAATACATTTGCAAGCTAGAGTAAATGAGGCAACAACTTTAATCGCACATACTTACACTTGAGAAATGGAGGAAGAAACCGATCCAGGTTCTGACATAGTCCATCAGTAGTCTTTACTGATCCTTCCTTTAACAAACAGCCAAAGAAGTCTTTTTTGTAGCATGTAGTTTTCAGAAGCACTCGATCTGCTCAAGGCTAGGCTATAATGCTGAGGTTTCATCTTTGGGTAGAGACTCAATAATATCCATCTGCACTTTGCGACTTCATTTGACCGTCATGTGTGTCTTTGTTTGTGTGTGTGCGTGGCTTTTTGTGTGTTAGAGGGTGGGGCCGCAGGTTTCAAATCTCCCAAGTTTGCACGTCATGCCGAAAAACTTAATGACTCGTTATCAAGGCGACTCGTTTGAAGCACTATGAGTCGACTCTTTTATAGATAAATCAACAGTTTTAAACACTGTACACTTACAGATTTAAGCCTTAGCTGGATATTTCACTTCACATAGAGCTTTGTCACACACTACATGGAAGGGCATTTTTAAAAAACCCATAATATGGGCTCTTTAAAATGCCCCGCAACAATAAAAGCAGTCTCCAGGTGAGCAGTCTGTTGTTTGCTGATGACTGCATGAAGTTCGTTCATAGCAAGCTTGGCATGAGCACCAAGAGGAATATAAGCAGCAGCCACAGTGGTGGATGTGAACTCCCTTGGTAGATAAAACGGTCTACATTAAACCATTAGAAATTCCAGGCTAGCAGAGCAATGTCTCCCAATTGAAATGGGGTGATCCCCAAAGGGGAGGGGTTTCCCATTTGTATGTGTGTAATGGGGGATCCCCAAGGGGGAGGGGTTTCCCATTATGTTTAGGTGAATGGAGTCAGAAATTAAGCTCACCGCCCCTTTAAAAGTGTGGAGGTTTCCCTTTACTTCCGTTTTCTCCCTGGCATGGAATAGTGGCGGTGTCTTGAGTGCGTGCAAACTTTTGATGTGTATTGAGCAGTAAGCCTGCAGTGTTTATAGAAACCTGTGCAAGGTTGTCTTTCTGTAATTCTGCTTCTTTGGCCTGCGGAAGTGCAATCTCATCAGCGAGTAACGGTATGTTTCTGTTTATGTCTCCGGTTATTTCTAGTGAGTTTTAGTGCTGTTAATTAATATTAAATAATTCTTTCAGCTGTATCCTTGTATGATCGGTGGATTGCTCACCATTTGTGTTGAGAGCCAGTTGACTGGGCTGCGGGTAAGTTTCTATTTGAGAGTTTGTAAATGTTTTATTTAGAAATGTGATTTTAAAATTTGACATGCCAATGAATATTGAACGTTTTTTTATAGACTGCCCGTTGCTGTTTTGCTGCTGTCTGGTGACCCGATTGTCCTACAGAGAGGGGATTCACTTTCCTTTCGGCACCTGATTGTGTGTGACCCAGTCGCGTCAAGTCAGAGTATGTGGTTGTGTGTGTGTGTGTGTGTGTGTGTGCACGCTTATTGTGCGAGCGTGCGCTCATTCTTTGACATTGGTGCGTTTGTGAGTGTGCGTGTATGTGTGTGCGTGTTGTGATCTAACTATTTGGTGGGTTTGTATTTTGTTTGTGTAAATTGTGAAGGGCTGTTGTTGTTTATTTTCCATTTCAATACTAACAGCAAGGATTGCCTTATATGGGGAGGGTTGTTTTATTTTGGCTTTGTTTGTTATGCGGGTGGTTTATTTTGAGTGTGGGTTAGTTTCTTTCTTTATTAATAAGGAGTGCGTTTTGTTTTGTTGCATTTTTTATTTTCCCCTTGATCTTTCCAAAATGTAGGTATATCCTGTGTAATATTGAGTGTGATTAAACAGTGGTCACTGACAACTATTATACAAACAGAATTGTATGGTTTTGTGACTCATTGTAATTGACTACATGTTTTATATGATTACATTTTAAAAATATGTATATATTTAAGTGTCTAATAAAAGAAGATTGTTTGTACACATCAATGCTTGATATTTTCATTTGTTTGGAAAAATTTGTGTGGGCATTAAAGTGAACCTGTATTTGATTATATTTAGTACAGTACGGGCCCCGGTCACACAATGACGACAGAGTTTGTGCACCAAGCTATGTTTATATAAATGCATAATCCTCCACCTCTGGTCTTACCGGAGTCATCCGCCGTTCTGTCTGCTTGGAATGTGTGGTGCTCAGTTAGCGTTACAGCTTTGTTTGGTGTTCCGCTGTTTAGCCATGTTTCTGTGAAAATCATGATGTTACAGCTCCATATTTTTTTGCTGTGGTTGATACGCAGTCGAATCCTATCCATTTTGTTCACCAGTAACCGTACATTGGCGAGAAAGATGCTGGGTAAATAGAGCCGGTGTGAGCTTAGCTCTTAGCCCATTGTGCTTCCCCCACCTTTGTTTACGGTCTTGACGCCACCTTCGAGCACTTCCGCCCAGCCGGGCAGGGCGCTCAGGCTCGGGTGTTCTAGCCATCTCAGGAATGAGTTGAAGATTGCTAATAAAACTGTCCAGAATGCACAAACCATTATCCAAAATCTCTTGTTGGGTGTACGATTTAAAGGTGCGACTGTTCTGCACGAACAGACCCGATATGAGCAGGAATAATACTGCAAAACTGCAGGAACTGGAGAGAAGCCGAGCCTCACGATGTGTACGTGCCGCCATCTTGCCTCATATGTATCAGAATCAGTTTTATTGCCAAGTGTGCTTCACACATACAAGGAATTTGTTTTGGCTACAGAAGCTTCCAGTGTACATAAAGTGACAAGTGACAACACAAAATAAATATGAAAAAAAGATGATAAACATTAAACAATGATGCAGTTAATCAAGAAATCTGGATGTCGAATTGTATGTACAGATTTGTTATAAATATACAGGTGATGTGTACAAATGCAAATAGAGAAAGTATTGCATAATACATTGATATAAGGTTCTGTGTACAAGTGCATATGAGAAATATTGCACATATTTATTGCACAGTTTTGGGATATTTAACTGTACATAAGGTAGATGGCCTGAGGAAAGAAACTTTTCCTGTGTCTGGCTGTTTTTGTGCTTGGTGCTCTAAAGCGCCGACCAGACGGTAACAGTTCGAACTAGTATTGTGCTGGGTGTGATCCGTCCAGAGGGATTTTGTGAGCCCTTTTACTCACTCTGGAAGAGTACAGTTCTTGAAGTGTAGGAAGGGTAGTGCCAGTGATTCGTTCAGCAGTCCGGACTACTCGCTGTAGTCTATGGAGGTCAGTTTTGGCAGCTGAGCCGAACCAGACGGTGATTGAAGTGCAGAGGATGAACTCACACTATCTTTGACTTCCTTTTTTTTTAAATATTGGAAACGTGTAACCATTGACTTCCATATCTGTTTTTCCCACTATAGAAGTCAATGGTTACAGATTTTTAGCTTTCTTCAAAATATCTTGGTTTGTGATCAACAGAAGAAAGTCAATAAGGTTTGAAACCACTTGAGGGAGAGTAAAAATATTCTGTCCTGTCAATGAGGTAAGGCACTTTTTATTCACATATGAGGAATATTCATCTTGTAGAAGAAAAACAAATAACATTCAAAAAATTGAAGTTTGTTCTCACATGCTCAACTTCTAATGGGTACAGTCTACTGTAAATGTGAGATGGTTTGCAGTTCACAATCCAGGGGTCTGCAAATGTGGTTGGGTTTTCTGTATTGTGTTATATTAAAAATCATATGGTGAATTTTAAAATATACATTATTAATAAACATGATTTAAACTTTTGCATTATTTCCCCAGAATATATGCATCAGCCCTCACTGCGTGTCTGACGGTGGACTACTGGAGTCTACTGGATCACAGGCTCGACGAGAATTAAAGATATGATGGTGTGGTACCCACACACACACAGTAAAGATATGATGGTGTGGTACCCACATAAACGTTGGCCAACTTACTGAAAAATAATTTTAGGTTTACTTTTAAATGGTTCACGCACTCACACAGATACTTATACATATTTAAAGAGTAAAAATACTGGGTGTTAACACTTGCTTATGATTTTGTGCTATATAAATAAAACTTGAACTTGAGTTGCATTTAGAATTTGAACTTGAATTAGGGTTGAAGTTTATTTTATCATAAATGCAGATCAGATCTGTTGATCAAATCTTTGTAAATAGTTTATACTGTAACAACTATCTGATACAGATAATCCTATACCCAATTAAAAAAAAGACAAAAAGACACATATTTAAAAACTTATTTTAATTGTTTTAATATTTGATGTTGTTTTTATTTTAATACAGAAGCTCTGAAAACCTTTTGTAAAATAAAAAAGATTGTATCTACTATTAAAAATAGGGTCAATGTGGCATAACTGTGTTAAATGCTCATTCGTTTCTGTTAGATTAGATTAGATTAGATTAGATTAGATTAGATTAGATTAGATTAGATTAGATTAGATTCAACTTTATTGTCATTACACATGTACAAGTACAATGCAACGAAATGCAGTTAGGTCTAACCAGCAGTGCAATAGCAGCAAGTGCAGGATATAGGAATAAGTTATAAAGTGCAGTTATAGAAAACTATGGTGATATTTACAGATGGGATGGATGTACTATGAACATTATATACAGGTTGGATAAGCTATGAACAGATTTACAATATATGAATATATGTGCAGGTTGCTATTAATAATCAGTAGTGTGCAGATAGATAAACATGATTACAAGTGTATATGTTACAATATATGAATATATGTGCAGGTTGCTATTAATAATCAGTAGTGTGCAGATAAATAAGCATGATTACAAGTGTAAATGTAAAGTGGGTGTGTACATAATTACAAATGCCCATATGCAGTGGGTATGTACAGTTCAATAAGTAAACAGTTCAATGTGGTGCAGTGAATGTGCAGATTTTAAACGTGCAAATGTTAAACAGTGCAGTTATTGCGAGGAGTTTAAGTTAGAGGAGAGTGGGGGGTGTATTTGGGGGGGGGGGGGGCAAAAGAGTCAGTGGGGGGCAGAGTTCAGGAGGGAGACAGCTCTGGGGAAAAAGCTGTTCCTCAGTCTGCTGGTTTTTGTCCGGGGGAGCCTGAAGCGCCTGCCGAAGGGCAGGAGAGAAAACTGTCTGTGAGCAGGGTGAAAGGTGTCCTTCAGAATACTGCGTGCTCGGCGCAAACAGTGTTTCTTCTGGATGTCCTCTATGGCTGGCAGTGTGGTCCCTGTGATGCGTTAGGCAGTTTTCACCACCCGCTGCAGTGCCTTACGCTCAGCAACAGAGCAGCTTCCATACCAGACTGTGACACAGTTTGTCAGGATGCTCTCTATTGTGCAGCGGTAGAAGTTCACCAAGACGGCTGATGAAAGCTGGTTCTTCTTCAGTTGCCTTAAGAAGAATAGGCGCTGGTGAGCCTTCTTGATCAAGCTGGAGGTGTTGGTGGTCCAGGAAAGGTCCTTTGAGATGTGGGTCCCCAGGAACTTAAAGGATGAGACAGGCTCAACGGCCATCCCACTGATGTGGATGGGATCATGTGAGCCTGTTCGTCCCTTTCTGAAGTCCACAATGAGCTCCTTGGTCTTGTTGGTGTTAAGGAGCAGATTATTGTCGGTGCACCAAGTGGCCAGATGCTGTATCTCCTCCCTGTAGGCCGTCTCATCATTGTTGCTGATTAGACCAATCACTGTGGTGTCATCTGCAAATTTGATGATGGTGTTGGATCTATTAACAGGCCTACAGTCAACGGTAAAAAGGGAGTAGAGGAAGGGGCTCAGCACACAGCCCTGTGGTACACCAGTGTTGAGTGTGACGGTGGTGGAGCAGATGTGGCCTGATCTAACATTCTGAGGTCTGTTAGTCAGAAAGTCCATAATCCAGTTGCAGAGTGATGTGTCGATATCCAGGTTCCTTAGTTTGATCAGTAACTTGGAGGGTATGACAGTGTTGAATGCTGAGCTGAAGTCAACAAACAGCATTCGTGCATAAGTGTTTTTATTGTCCAGGTGTGTGAGTACAGAGTGCAGTGCTATAGAGACTGCATCTCGTTTCTACAGTAGGCAAACTGATGTGGGTCCAGTGTGGGTGGCAGAGAGTCTTTTAGATGTGCCAGGACCAACCGCTCGAAGCACTTCATGATGATGGGTGTGAGCGCTACAGGCCGGTAGTCATTCAGGCATGTTGGGCTGGAGTGTTTGGGCATTGGCACAATAGAGGTGGTTTTAAAGCATGTTGGCACAGCTGCTAGGTTGAGCGACAGGTTGAAAATGTCTGTGAATACCCCAGCGAGCTGTTCTGCACATACTTTGAGGACACGCCCAGGAATACCGTCTGGTCCAGCAGCCTTACACCCATTGATACGACTCAGTGCCGTGTGTACTTTTGAGGACGTGAGTGTGATAGGTGAGTGGTCGGTGGAGGAAGTGATCCTGGTGTAGGGTTCTTTATTGTCTCTATCAAAGCGGGCATAAAAGTCATTAACTCGTTCAGGAAGGAGACGTCAGTGGCTGTGGGTGTGGACTGGCTGGGTTTGTAGTTGGTGATGGCCTGGATGCCCTGCCACATGCGCCGAGGATCAGAGTTGGAAAAGTGCTCCTCTAGCTTAAGCTTATAGCAGTGCTTGGCCTTTTTGATGCCCCTCTTCAGATTAGCCCTGGAAGTGCTGGAAGTTACTGGTAAGTATTAATACTTATAGATGATCAATACTAGCTTTGCTGTTGCCAAATAAGATTTTGTTATCTTACATATCTGTCTGTAAGCCAATACTGGCCTCACCATAAACCTGCTCTGTTCTCCCTCACAATAGTTAAATTACACTTCTCTGACTGCTGTTCTGTCTGCTGGTCTGTCCACAGGCTTATAATTGTATGGCTGTGGTCTGTCATTTGTGTGAGTCTCTCAGAATATCTTATCTCGGCATCCAAACTCGCACCGCGATCAGTTGTCTTCATAGTGTTTATATGCGTGAACTCCCTCATCCGACGTCACTTCCGGTCTGGCGATTTT